TATTATCGGTCACTGGATATGTCCATAAACAAATTTGTGTAATGTCACCTAATAGTAAGGATGATCTGCAAACTCATCACATTTCATAATAAATATTCAAGAACAAAATACCTTGTCTTATAGACAATCATTTATTTCCATTTTATTTAAGTAATATTTTACTTGGAAATTAGTCAATTTGAAACATGCAAGGATTACAAACTTTTAATCTAACTAATATTTAAAAACCTCGTGAAGTATCTTTCTTCAAAGACAAGGGTGTTTATTCAATCATGTGATATCGATTAAGAAAGAATGGACAACGGGATCAACTGATGTTTTTCCTTCTGTGAAAAGTAAGGCGATCAAAGAAGTCGTACTTATTATTATCAAAACTTCACTATCTGACACTCCATTCCAAACTTACCACAACTGTTATTATTGTTACTTATTCCTATCGTTATTGCTCAGATACTTATTCCATCAGTTGTAAGATCAATACTTATCGTTATCGTTATTAATATTTTGACCACTTTTCAAAATATAATGAATACTAAGTTTTATATTGATAGCATTCTGAGCGTTGTTGGAAAATTTTGACTCGTTTGTCCACTTCTGCGGGATGTTCTATTTTCACAAAAAATGATGTTTAGTAGGGTGCCAGAGAAACACTAAATCAGGCCCATAATAGTAACAGTAATACAGTAAGACGGTATTGACAACTAAGCTACTGAATAGCTGTTGAGATTATAAATCTTGTGCTAAAATAGATTATAGCAATAGAGTTGATGACAGTTACCATCTACGTAAAGTCTCCGCAGTTCAGAAACAATATCGTTAATCAAGTTGTAGCCATGTCAACAGAATAGTCTCAGAATCTATTCCTCTAACTTCGCCGTGCTGCACAGAATCTACCTTTTGCGCTATGATAACTGGAAACTCATTACTGTCGTCATTAATATTAAATAGCTTTAGTTGATTAAGGGATGTAGCTGCGAAATGAAAACGGACGATGTGAACATTAAGTTGCTCAGTAACAGATATACATGCCTAAGGCGCATACTCGTAGCTCTTCTATTACAGTACTTACGGTTACGGTGAAGCTTCGGAAGTCTCTACAGTTAAAATAATACTGATACCGTTAACCAAACTGTAGTCACGCCAACAGAATAGCCTCAGAGTCTATTTGCCTCTAACCTCGTTCAGAATCTACTTTTTTAACTATCGCTATGATAACCAGGGAAAGCTCTCACATGGAATCCAAAGCTGACTCAGTTACTTGTCATTAATAGTAGTCGCTTGTGGCTGCTCGAAATGATGACGACAATGAAATATTCAGTTCATGCTCGTCATCTAATATTATTCATCACCTCCGCATTATTCATCACCTGACAATACATCACAAGAGTGGCCTTTGTCCGCAAAAATTCTGTGAACTGACAGTTATTAGTGTGATGATCAGCAGATTTCATCATTTCTGATAGTAAACGGAAAATTTGCCTAAAGGCAAACACATTAATACTTCTATTTAACAAGCTAGTTTATTGAAAAATTCGAATTATCTCATACGTTATTTACTTCCAATTCTCTAATTTGATAAAAAAGTTAAAAAACCTTAAAAGTATCTTTCGCCAAAGCCAGCTTCCCCGATATAGTCACATGATATAACATTCCGCAGCAGACTTCAAACGTCTATCATTTGACAGTGAAATAACAAGATAATGATAATGATGATAAATGTATCGATACTCATTTACTGCTATCGTTATCGTTATCGTTATCACTATTATCCAGATACCAATGCTATAAACAGTCACACTAACAACAATCACGCGGTCAGCGTATCGGTATTAGTATGTATTACAATTGTTTTGATTTATTGTAGACAAGTATCAAATTTTAGTCTGACATTATCTTTCCTTTCAAAGTCTCTACTATTGTGTCTGCACAAGACACAATAAATTTGTAACTGATTTATTACCATAACTCTTTCTCTTTATTATGTAGGCAATAAAAGCAATTCTCATAGTGATCTTATATCTCTGACAAAATAAATCTATCAAGAGCAATACCGTAGCGATAACGATAGTGATAATCGCGGGTGACAAAAATAACTTTATATCAATAACAATAACAAAATAAATTTATGGCAATAGCGATAGTGATAGTCATGGATGACAAAAAACAAATATACCCTTATTATAATTAAGTAACATTACACAATATTTTTGTGCACTTGTGAGACGAACACGTTGATGCTAATCGTGTATTTTTTATTTAGATGGATAAGCAATTGACATTTCTTTATAAATATGATAAGACGCATGTTTGCAAATATTGTCGCTATCTTTGCTCAAATATTTATTTAAAATTTCTATTACACATCTCTTCACTTTTATTTCGACGCATATCTTTATTTATTCTGATTTTGTTATGGATCCTATCCGATTCAATGAACTTGTTGGTGCTGATAATTACGTTTACGATGATAACAGCACGATCGATAATGATAGTAGCGTTGCTGCTGACAGCGTTTTATCTCCAAGAAGTGTTGGCGAAGAGAGCATTAGTTATGAGTTGGAAGATGATAATTTAAGTTCAGAAATATTCTCTCTCGACAAAGAAGGTTTGGCAATAGCAAAGGCGTATGCTGAAAATATCGAAAATAACGATATGGCTTTTGATGACGATAACCTGGATAACATTAGTATCTCTTCAATCTATTCTACCGAGGCATCATTTATAACAGAAATTTCCGACGCTGATAGCATTTTGTTAGCGCCTGATTGCCGCGCTGAAGATATGTTGACTGCTTGCGTCCTTATGGATATAGTAAATGGTGAGCTTAGAACATGCGGCAACATCGGGAAAAACCAGCGACCTTTAGCACAATTGCTAGGTACCTGGGAAATAGATAAAACAGTGTTTCAAAAATCCCGTATGGAAGGAACGGTCCTCGGCGTATGTTCATCTCATTATGCCCATGATGCTGCGAAACTTCATAATACGAGTAAGAGAGACAGGCCTATAGAGAAAAGTTGGGTACATGTAAACCGCTGCTTTTTTTGCAGCAAGTACAAATCATTCTTCAGCAGGGGTCACAATTGTGTTGAACATGCCATCCGTGTTACTAATAAGACGATACAAGCTCCTTGTTCAGGCTTTAAAGTGTGTCCAGCGTTTAAGATGGAAGGAATGCCCAAATCATTTTTCGATAATGATGCGTCAACTAACACTAATGATCGACGCACGCGGTTTATTTGCAGCCATTGTTTTATGCAAAATGGTGGACACTTATACGAACGTCTCGGCTCTGGGCACAGTTTTTCATGTTCCGATAAGCATAGTAACGATGTCTCTAATACACTTCAGATTTTCGGACAGTGGATAATGAACACTGCTAAATCAAACGATATTGATAACAAAAAAAAGCTTTTGACATGGCTGTCGTCTTCGCTAGCGACATTTACTGAAGAAAAAGAACACGTTACTCCATCAATAAGTCCCATTATATTAAAGGTTTTTTTAAAACTGAATTCCTTAGATGCCAATAAACTTGAGGATACTAGACTGACATCGGAAGTTGCATCAGCAGCTGGCGAGAATTTAGGCAATGAGTTATGGAAATCTAGAGAATGGGTAAAGCAGAATAAAAAAGGGCTTGAATCACCGTCCTCGATAGTTGAATATGAAGCAAGTTTTCCACCGGCTTTGTTAAGCTTTTTTACATCACTCATTGCAGCCGTATTAAAAAAGAAAAACCATATAAATAATCTACGCCGAACGAACAGAGGTTTAGAGGAGCTTCCATATAACGATATAAAAACAAAAAAAATTGCTATATTTTTGTTATCGATGCTTTTAAACATCGCGTTTCCATCTACGAACATATGGATGACACGAGTATTAGGAAGTCTGTGTACCAAACCCAAATTAATTTCCACACTGTACGCGATACTATGGATGGCTCACGTCATTTCTCACAGCTTACATCATGAAAAGGCGTTAGAACGGCAGAGAGTTAGGGACACGAAACCAGAGAATAGAATTATAAAAAAAGAAACGATGTGGAATGTTTGCGTTGTGGATAACATTGATTTTGTGGAAAAAACTTTTGCATATGGAAATATTTTTGATGCTGCTAGACGTAGCATTCATGCTACAGTTAGAATGGTGTTTCAGTTCGACTTGGGAGAATCAATACAAACAATCGGAAGTGATAATAATGATAACCGAAAAACAATTCTGTTCGGGGAGACAGACTACGCCAAAGACTTACTGCTCACATATGCAAGTATTATTAATGAAATTTTTCAAAAAAATCCAAATACCTGGTGCCAAGATACGGTTTTAGATGCTATTAGAAAAACTGTAGTTGATGGCTGTAACATTCCCCCACCCAACGTTGTAATTCTGAAACCAGGAGAAAGCCCAAACTGTAATGCAAACGTGCATAATGCATGTAAAATGTATTTCGATGATGTGGGTACGGAGAACAGTGGTTATCTCGATATTGTATGTGATGAAGCACTCTTTCGTCGTTTAATTCCTTTCGAAGAAGAACATTCACAATGTAGACTAATGCTCGGTCAATGGCATACGTCAAAAAATATGTGTTCAGTTTTAATCACAATATTTTCGGGTTACGGCATTTTCAAGCTAGCTGCAAGTCTTGGAGTCAGATATTTTGAAAAATTAGAGAAAGTTGTTGATTACCCTGCCACTTGTCGTGTCTTAGAATTAATCTATGTTGCTGTTGCTTGTTCATTGACAACTTATGCACAAAGTCTTGGACTGGCACTTTCAGATCTTGAACATACAAGCAACCATGTAATTAAAGTATGGTATTACTATTTTAAATGGAGTTCCTATTGGCTCGGACACAAGATTGGCATACAAAAAGGCAATTTCGATATGCAATACGAAAATCTTACTGCATTCTCCCCTTTGTTTCCTGTCGCCGGTAAGGGAAATTACGCGCGATCAGTTACCCACTTCTTATCATACCTTGCAAACCAACCACGACTTCGTACACTTCTAAGATATGTTGCCTCGGTTAATTTGACAAAGACTGGGAATTACTTTGCGTTCGACGAAGCCTTAGAACGATTTGGCGTGATGTTTATCAAGCAGAATATAGGCGGTAAACCAATGACAGCTGACGAGTTGAAGTTACAAATATCAGCAGCCCAATCAGAACGAGAACGCCTAACCATGTTATTTTCGGAATATGTCGGAGATACTGTTCACGTTAGTAAAGAAAAGCGGTTAAAGTCGTACCAGGATGCGTTGCAAAAACTTATAGGAAGCTTAACTACTGCATTTATGTCATCTGACCCTTCATCACATGAATTGTTCGCAGACAGTGCTGAATTAAAACCTGAAGGGTATAAAAGACTTTTTGATTGTTATGAAATTGGAATTGCACGCATGAACGCAATTTTACGGCAAGACGTGTATAAAACGGAACCTCGAATTGTGAAAGGCCGACGAGCGAAGGATGTAACAGTTCACAAGTGGACAATGCAGAAAGAAAAAAGTCTTGTTCGAAGATCTTCAAAAAAGCAGAAAAGAGATACAACTGGAAGTATATCGAAAACAGGCGATGATATCGATATGATGAGCTAATTTGTATGATGAGCTAATTTGAACTATTCCGTTAGTATTACGTTAATTTCCGTTATTGCTGCTACAATTGGTTACCATGACAATGATATTATCATTACTGTTATTATAACAGTTATCATTTCTGTTTTATTTTTTGTTTGTTTTTTTTTGTGTTTACTATTACGGAACATCTCGATAAAGTGTATCAGATTATTAAAACCTTATACTTTTTGGTCTGGTTAAAGTATCTTTTAAAAAACGCAAAAAATGGCGTTCAAACTATTAAATAATATATTATGTTATATTTCACAGTATAGCCAGTTCAAAAATACCGTTGATTATTACAATAAATATGCTGATAAACATCCGATAAATTATTTGCTAATTATTTGTTTGCGATGCTTTTATTGGTCACATATTCTCAACGGTTGCATAATTTC